GTGTGTTCAGTTACAGGTCAGACATATCCGTGAAGATTCTATAGAATGGTTTCACAGGTTTGTGTAATTACTATACAACTATGAAAAGTGCAGGGTATAATTCAATCGGTTCATACCGACTGAAACGTTTTTACTTGTTCTAAATTTTTTTTTTTCAAAATGTTATTCATATATTTTATTTAGGAGTAAAATCGTAAGCAACAAAAAACAAATTGCGCGGTTAGTAGAAAAAATGGAAGAGGACTTAAACCTGGCAAGGAATGATAATCTGAAATTCTGGATAAATATAAAAAATGTGTACATATTATATAAATAATAAAATAAAATAGGTACATAAACATACATTTTGTTGTCTAAATCCAATGGATTAGTTGAATCTCTTATATGTCGTCTTTAAATAGCTTGTATTTCTTCACTTACTACCGTTTCTCCACTTTCAAAATATAATGCACGCGACATTTTCCCGATAAATGTATATTTTTATTTTACAAATTTAACAGAAAATAACTTGCTTACAACAACTTTTTAGCACATCAAAACCAAATTCAAAATAATTTTTAAAATTTTTTGACAATAACTTTTGAAAGAAAACAAATGTCATTAGAAAAAAAAAACTTTTTCTCCAATTTACAAACACAAAGATTTATAAGAAAAAGCTTCTTTTAATCGGTTGAAATATTTTTATCGGTACCGGTTCATAATACAGAAGAAACCTAAAACCGATTAGAACTGCCGACACTATATGGGCCGATACCGATGTTCATAACAGAGGGGAATATAAAATAGTATACACAAATTTAATAAAAACTATAAAATAGTATACAAAAATCAAATACAAGCTTCGAGAAAAAAAAATTTGCACAAATACTTTTTTTGTGTTGTCGCGTATATTGAAATCTTAAAAAAATTAACAGAACCTGGAACGTTTTTTCTAAATCAATTTTTTAATGTTTTACACAAAACTTTAAGAATGTAAGCACTTAGATTATGTAAGAAAAAGATTGAATTTTAACTTTTTTTTAATTAAAAATTCGAAAAAAAGTTGATCTTGTGGGAGATTTATGATGTTAAAAAGGGCCCTCTATAGCTTCCATAACAATACGTCTAAATTCATCAGCTGTGAAATGTTACTCTCTCTTAGGATTCAGGCCTGTATTTTTGTCAGCCATGGTATAGACACAAGAGTCGTCATCTTCTTTCTTTACTTGAATTTTCATACTACGTTTCGTCCACTTTCCCTTATACTATATTTGTAGTTTTGTAATCCTGAAATTTCTGTCTCCTTTTTTGAATCCAAAACTTTCTGAGGTTAACGTTTGAATCTAGCAGCATAAAGAAAAGTGTTTCTGTTTTTTTGTTTTTGCCAATTATTTATTGTATTTTGAACGATTCACATCTAACAATAGTGATATACCAAACGGAAAAACCACACAAAAATATTGTTTTTTTTTTTTTATTTTTAATTAACCATCTACTTTTAGATCATCCGCCTCACTTTGATATTCTTCTATTTTCAAAATTTTATTTGAAATCACATACACACAAAGAATCCAATTTTTGATGAACAGTATGGAAATAAAGCAGATTGAAAAATAAAAATATTGTTGAAAAAAGATGAATCGTGTAGTCTCAGCTATTCGCTTTTGAAACCATACTAAATTACGTGAGAGTCACAAAGAATACTCAAAAGTTTAAAAGAAAATAAAAGCACAAAAAGATTAATACATTAAGAATTATTTTTGTAATTTTTTTCGATTGCAAGATTTCGAAAAATAATTTCAGCTTGGGTTCCTGATAGATATATATGGTATTACGTAAACATTAGATCCTACTGTCAATAATGCTACATCGTGTCAGCGACAGTTACATCCTCTAAATCTGGCAAATAATTTGTATTGAGCACGTATGATATAGAACCCATAACACTGCCTTGAGGCGCACCAGCCTTAATTTCCCTAAACGTGGAGTACTCCTCAACCTGTTTAATTCGAAAAAGTCGACCAGACAAATATGATTCAAGTAACTCCACGCACTGTAAAGGTGACAATTTCTTAAGTTTAAATAATAAATGGTCGTGCCAAACCTTCTCAAACGCCTGGGCCACAGTTAGTTGGTTTGACCCAATTTCTATCTTCTATTTTAAGCATCAGCCTTGTTAACAACAATTTTTCAAAAAGTTTTGACATCATTGGTACCGAAGATATCGGTCTATATGACTTTGTTTTACCAGATTTCCCCGGTTTTCCTATCATAGCAAATTCTGCCACATTCCAAGCATTAAGAATATAACTCAGGTTTACTATTGTAATCATCACTTTTTTCAAAAATGTCAACGCCCTTCTCGGCAATTCTCTTATAATCCTAGCAGTAGCAGTTATATTGTTTTTTGCCAATGATCCATTTTTTTCAGTAGGAACAATTGCTTTATCTTTTCCTTGGTACTCTTCGTTGCTTTCCACAGCGTCAACAGACACATCGATATTTTCAGCTCTAAGAAAAACTTCCAATTCGTGTCTTCTGCTCACAACGCCATTGGTGTTTCTATTTCTATTATATCTGTACTCCATAGTAGTTATTCTCATTGAGATTTCCTCAATTCTTAGTAGCATGTCGTGCATCATTTGCATTATGCTATTGCCAATTTCCTTAGGTTTTCCTTAGCTTATGCTACTTGTGAACATGTAAGCTACTTGTGACCGTTTTTTATTTGATTAAATGTGAAAGTATTACTCGTTCTTGGGATGCTTTCATGATTAATCAGAACCAGCTTATCCGATTCCTTTTCTTTCTCTTTTTTTGCAATTCCTTCCTCGGTAACTAACAGGGTGTGCATCGTTGCAGTTTGCAGACTTGATCTAAAATTATCTTTCTTATTAGACTTTACCGTTTTATGATTACAAGCACATTTAAAACATTTAAAAAATCTTTGTATACATCCGAAGCTCTGACATCTCTTGCATTGAGGATTGGAGCCGTTAATTCTATGAAACTCAATTTTTAGCCGCAATTTCAAAATATTTTATATATTTTATTTATCTCTTCGGTATAACCGAAGGACAATTTGAAAAGTGGAAACTTTTTAATAGTATTTAAATTTATTTTAGGCATTTGAATTACCTTTGGACAAGTTCATACTTAATATTCTATTCACATGATGGATGTATGTTTCTGACCATAACTTTAATTGGCCTTCACATCAATGCTTTCCTTTTTGAGGATCCTTATTAACAGCATGTAATTAGTTACATTATTCACTATTACCGATGAAGGTTTATGTTTTTTAAGTTCAAAATTTTTTTTTGGTGGAATTTCTCTATTTCAACATTATTCATTTCTAGTGGCGGTTTCATTTCTGGCAAAATTTATGGCTTTTCTCTTTCTTGAGTTTCTTTTGGTCCTTGAGGAGTTCAATGGGTTTCCTTAGCTAACATCTGTTTCATGATGCTCAAAATATGAATTTTTAATTATTGCATATCTTGGATTGCGTTGTCTTGCTTGCAAATTTAAAAGATGGTGACGTTCAATGTTCTATATTTAGAGAATTATTGCTTTTACCTGCGGATGTTCTTACTACATTCTTATTGTTGGCGACTGAGGGTCGTTGTTTGTGTCTTTCTTTGATTTTGCTAGGAATAATACTACAGTGGTTTTGCCTTTCTCAATGTTTTTCGGTAGTTTTATTGTTTATAATAAGGTCGTTCTTCTGTATTCAGACGCAGCGTGAGAGTGACCAATTTTGGGCGCAGTCGCTTCTACACTTTTTCTTGCAGATTTGTTTATTTCAGTGCTAGGACTGTTCTAAAGTTCTCACAATATGTTACGAGTTAAGTCGCAATACCTTCAACTTATTTCCTCGTTTTTAAGGAGGAATGCGTCTTTGACCAAGTTAAATTCCCCATAAAATGTTATAATAATGTATACATACATATACATATGTAAATAGCGAGAGAAGTTTTCATTCAGATATTATCAAATTAAAATAAAAACTAATTTGACATTAGTCCAAAGTATGCAAAAATAGAACAGTTAAAGAGCATAATTTATTTTAATTTTTAATAAAAAGTATTGTTTATTCATCATTATGCGATTTTAATTCAAACGAAAAAAAATTATTTTCTAGACTGGTATTTGTGATATTTTGCAAACAGATGTCTAATAAAAACTAATCACCATCAAGCATTTCATTAAAAAATCTTGTACACAAACAGTTAAAAAGTTTTCGATTCGAAATTAATCATACGTGCTTGTATTTTTAACAAACCTGCAGGTATTAAAATATTAAAAATTTGGATTGAAAAGTGGAAGAAAATTGCTCACACAAATCATACAACTCTATCATGAATTCCTCTCGTAGAACTCTACGAGTCGCGAACTTAGCTATGACTTTCAAATAATCATAAATTTCTTTCGTAGAGATTATGAATCAGAAATGGCAACGCAATTTTTCGGAGAGTCAAAATCAATATTTTATTTTGACTGTCAAATGTTTATTTATACTTTGCTATTATATGTTGCTATGTGAGTATGCTATGTACTTTTATAAAAAAGGTTTTTTTTAGAAACGGCGTTGTGCAGTTTTTTTTGAAATATGAATTTATTTCCTTTCGCGGTAGCTGTATTGGAAAACTCAAATTTAAACAAAAAAATTGAAAACTTGAAAATTTAAAGCAACTACTCTCTTTAAATTGCTTGTTACGTGTGATTATTCCTTTCGTAGACTTTTGAGGGTTATTTTTACTACGAACGTAACTTACGATTACTCTATTACGAATATTTATAGTAAGATTTAAGTAATTCGAAATTGAGAATATGAAATTCGTGATTTTCTAAATTTCGGAGCTACGAACGAACTTTGACAGCTAAGTCTTGACAGATAAGTCTCAATATTTTCTTTTATTATAAGTTTAAATTAAAAATAAAAAAAAATCTCAGAACATGAAAGAAAAATTTGCCTTAGCTTTTGTTGAGCGTAAGTCTTTAAAATAAATATATTTTTCCAGAACACATGGATGTTTCTAGGCATAGGTCTTATGTTTATCTTAAGTTCATCGTTAATTTGTCATACGGTATTTTTGGCAGAGGCTTTCTTGTGGGTACCGAAACACACCAAAGATATTTTGTTTATATCAGCTGTAAGATAATTAATATTCACATATTTTAAACTAATATTTAAAATTTTTAGATACTGGGATATTTATGTGCCATTGAAGCTTTTATTTTATGTGGAATATCAATATGGCCACCACCCTATAAACCCGTTGTGGATGATGCTAATGAAGTCTTTATTCCAGATTGTGAAATGAGTCACATTAGTCCGACAGCAGAAAACACAGATGTATCATTCAATAGCAACCCTGGTAAGATCAACGGAAATACACACTATCCATGCAATGACCAAAAATCTGCAAACAGAGTAAATTCAAATGGTACATTAAACCTTTTTTTGAAAAATAATAATAGATATATTGACTTTCATATAAAAAAAAAACGTTTTTGCCCCAAACTACATTTCAGTTTCTCTTTAAAATGTAGTACGTTACATATTACAACTATGTAGAAAAAAGAATGTCCTATTGTGTTCTTGTGGGAATTCTGATCCGATTCCAAAAAATTTTAAAGTTAAATATTTTTTAAATGCGGGTAAAAACTCTTTTTCTTACATTATGAAAGTTTTTCTTAACTTAAATGCTTTATAGGAATTAATTTTTTATTTACAAACTTTAAAAATTTTACCGACTTGGATACTTATTACAAACACAATTCTATCAGAATATTTGATATATAGCAATTTTTACTAAGTTTAAAACTAATTTAAGAATAAAATGGAACTATTTTTCATGTTGATCATCTTAAAAACAGTTTTGCACTCCACATGAATGCGAAATTGTTTTTTATATGACTTATTTTTTCAGACAAAACTGAAGTATGATGTTTTTTTCTGATTCTATTCAACAGTACTTAAATTTTGCATAAATTAATATAAAGAGCAACTTAAGGTCATAGTCTGTCCCATAGTCAGTTATGGCATATATATTCGCACATAGGATAACAAATTCGTACGGGTGTCACAAAGTTGACAAGGTCAACTCTATTTTATCTCGTTTTTCAATTTATTTAGAATATTTTCAAAAAAATTTCATGTATTATATTATATTACGTTCGAAGGGTATACTAAACTTGCCTTACCGTTTGTAACGCTAAGAAATAACGGTCCTAGATATAGATTCAAGTGTATGTTTTTGATTAACGTCGAATTCTGAGTTGATTTAGTTGTGTCTGTCTGTCCGTCCGTCCGTCCCAACGATAACTCAAAAACTAATTGAGCTATGTTCACAAAATTTGCACAAATGTTTCATTGTAGTAAGTACTAGAACGCTATTTAAATTCACCGTTTATTTTTCATTGTACCGGTTCGAGTGGCTGCCATACAACTTGAAAATTTATTTGGCTATATCTTAGAAATTATAAAAGCTGTGGTATGAAAATTTCACACAAACGAATATATTAGTAGGGCCAATGTGTCTCATAAAAGTCGTTGAAATTACTTGGTCCCTTCTGGTACCTGCCTTACAACTTCAAAAGTTTGACTATATCTCAGAAACTATAAAAGCTATGATGTTGAAATTTCACACAAACGAATATTTTAGTAGGGCTAATGTGTCTGATAAAAGTCGTTGAAATTACTTGAATTTTTCTGGTACCTGCCATACAACTTCAAAAGTTATTTGGCTGTTTCTCAGAAACTATAAAAGCTGTAGTATTTATATTTCACACAAACGAATATATTAGTAGGGCCAATGTGCTCGATAAAATTCGTTAAAGTATCTTGGCTCCTTCTGGATACTGCCATACAACTTCAATAGTAGTTTGGTTTACACAGTATTTTGAAAAACACTACTTAAATTTTGCATAAATTAATATAAAAAGCAACTTAAGGTCATAGTCTGTCCCATAGTCAGTTATGGCATATATATTCGCACATAGGATAACAAATTCGTACGGGTGTCACAAAGTTGACAAGGTCAACTCTATTTTATCTCGTTTTTCAATTTATTTAGAATATTTTCAAAAAAATTTCATGTATTATATTATATTTTTTGTTTTCTCACTTCTAAAAAAAATTGAGGCGAAAATTAAAGTATGATAATGAATTTTCTTCATAGCAAAAGCACTGGCGATGATACGTTAATGAATGGACAACTATTGCAGACATTGATTGGCACAAGTCTGGACATACGCAGAATTAATCTTATTTTCTTATTTTTCATTTTCCGTATTTTTCATGGTGAAAATGAAATTAAAACTTTCATGGTGAAATGAAATTAATATAGAGGAGGGGTATTCAAAAGCTATATTTTTGATAGTGTTATAGATTTTAATTACACACTCTATTTAAAATTTTTCAATGAATTTTTGAAAAAAATATATATATTTTTATTGCAGTCTTCTTGCATGTGCAATGACTTCTATTTTGCAAGTTAAGTTTGTCACTCAAAATTACTACCCAATATTTTTTTTATTGTTGCTATTTTATCATTTTATCAATTTTTATCCATGCATTCAGTCTTTTTTGCATTAAGCTTCAACCTCTTCGTTTGGGAACATTTATATAGGCCTAGGTCTTTATATATTTTTTTAATACATTGTAACATATTACTACAACATATATATGTATAACAACGCATCATCAGCAAACAACACCAATTTTTAAAATTCAATTGATTTTTCGATATCATTTACATATATTAGAAACAAAAGAACTCCTATTGCACTACCTTAGTGGACAGCACGCGTCGCATCTACTGAATCAGTAATTAGACAAAGTATCGTTCACGGTTACACTTTGTTTTCTCCCACACAGGTAATTCTCAACATCTGTAATTCTATTATTTTTAAGCTTTCTATGAGAATAGCTTTGAATGCGTTTTGCAAATCTAAAAATATTGTTACAATTACTTTTTTATCATGCATTGTCATTTTCCAATTAGTAATTACTAAATTGATTAACACCTTGCAACTAAGATTTTTTCTAAAATCAGACTGATATTCAGTGATTAACTTAAATATGTCAAATTATAAATAAAATATCGTTGAGAGCTTTAATTGACTGGGTAGTGTCTAATTGTTATGAAAAAATTAAAATTGGAGTTAAGGAAAACTCAAAGATACAGTATATTAATGAGAAGAAAATCAGCTTTGATAAAGTGCGTATGTAGCGCACGAAATATATTAGCGAAAAATAAAAGTATTTTATTCCGAATAAAAGAAAGTTTTCTTTTCACACCAATAAAAAAAAAAAAAAATTATATTTCGGAAAAATTATCGACCATTGAAAAAAAAAATTTTTTTGAGTATATTGTGTTTTTTTTTGTGTTTGATAACAATGACAAAAAAAATCTGTATATAATCGACCGCAATTTTCATTGTTTAGGTTAGCGAAAGTGTTGCTGGAAATTAGGCGGTAAGAATTGGTGATGTATTTGGTAGATTTGCTATTGCCAATTGTGGTTTATATTAACACCCTGTGGTTTATATTAACACATTTTTTTTCTTGGTTTATATTAACACCCTGTTTGTTCAGGGATATTCCGAAAGCTTTTGCTTGTGATGCTCAGTTACGTGGATGGAAGTGCGCTGATATTGTCGAAAAGATTAGGGATGATTTAAGAGTTATTAGACGTTGATTTCTTATTCATCGTCTAATAATTAGTGACAAAACTGTTTGATATGAATTTTAGCATCTATTTTCCGTCGGCTATTGATTAAAACTTATTGCTTCACTCATCGAAATGTTTCTCTGATGCATGATTGGCACTTTAATCCTGTGACTCAAACTCTTTGGAAATAGAAAAAGTTGAAATAAGTAGACCGTATTAGTTGATATAATTCATCGAACATTGTGTGAAGCGTTCGTAAAAATCGAAAATGAAACATCAAAAATCGGTTTAAAAATAAATGAGGCAAAAACAAAATACCTAGAAATGTCTAGAACACCGAGAAGGCGACAATTACAAAATATGACATTTGGTCAATACAATTTCGAACGTGTAACAAGTTTTAGCTACCTTGGGGCTGTAGTTCGCAACGACAATAGTATGCACTATACCATAAATAGTAGAATACAAGCGGGCAACAGGAGCTATCACGCCAACAAGAAACTCATACAGTCGAATCTACTGTCCAGACGAACCAAGCTAATTATATATAAAACAATTATACGTCCAGTTGTGACATATAGTAGTGAGACATGGTCAATGACAAATGGTGATATGCTAGCCCTGCGAGTATTTGAGCGAAAAATATTAAAAAAAATTTTCAAAGCAAGAAGATTGGATAATGATGAATATGAAAGACGAAGCAATAGTGAATTAGAGCAGTTAATAGGGGGAGAAGATATCGTTAGATTTATAAAATCACAGAGATTAAGATGGGCAGGACACGTGGCCTGAATGGATGATGAAAGGGCACAGTTCAAGATTTTTAATGGTCGTCCTTACCTCAGTCGTGCAAGAGGTAGACCAAGAACAAGGTGGGTCGACAATGTAGAAAGCGATGCGCGAAGGCTAGGGATCCAAAACATCGGCGCAGGAAAGGACAACTTGGAGGCAAATTGTGCAGAAGGCCAAAGCCTACCCCGGGCTGTAGTGCCAAATGATGATGATGAATTCATCGAACATTACTCCATTTTCCATTCTAAGCCACAAATTGTTTGTTGGGTTGGTTCATATTTTAATAACTTTAATCAACTTTTTGTTAGTTGGAAACATGCATTTATGGCGAATTGTACTAAAAGGCGTTTAACCCCTTTTGATTTATTTATTCAACAGCGAATTTTATCTTGAGGCATTGAGACTATTTTTCTTTAGGTCTGGTAACCGTAGTTTAAGCTTTTCTACTGCATATAATCTGAGAATTAATAGAGGAGTATTATTAAAATAATAGGAGATTAGTAAATATTCCAGCTCTTAGTCGTACTATAGTCATTCTTATAATGTGATTGCACCTAGAGTTCATAACAGTTTGCCAGAAACTGTTGAGGGTATAACGGTGTTGTGGATGTTTCTCAAACGCATTAGATTGTGTACCAAGAGTTCATTTTGATGATATAGAAAGTTAATAAAGTTGGGTTAAACCATTGGTTTGTATTGTAGCACTTTTCCCTTCAACAAGTGAAAATTCTGCTTTTAAATACAGTCTATGTATACCTATCACACTATTAAAATTATTTTCATTCATATACAAAACTATTTCTAGGATTGCATATATTTAGGATGACACATATATGCAGTCTTTGAAATAAAGCAAAAATTAATATAAAAAGGGGTTAACATAATGCTCGATTTTAAGCGTTAATTGTGTGAGTTAAGAAAAGTAATTATATTTTTTAATTTCATTGAATTTACCGTTAGCGTTTATAGAAATTTGA